AATTCACTGTGTATTTGACTTAATCTGGAGAGGGGAGAAGGATGACAGTTACGTGAATTATTCTGCAAACATTTATTTTTATGTAACTTCTTCCACCTCCCCCCTTCCCCCCCCCCTTTTTTTTTTAATTAAGGAATTAAATTTCTACTTTGGAAATCAAATTCTGGCTGAGGGAAGTTATCTTTTGTAGGAACACAAACTCAAAGATCGTGGACAAAGTAATATTAACTGGAGACACAGACAGTCCAAGAAGCCAAGTTAGACAACTTAAATCATAATTAAGTTAAATCCATTTTTTAAAAAAGCTAAAAGCAAACACTTTTTATTTCCCCCAGTGCTAAACAAAACCTAAAGCTGGCCACAGAATGTGGAAGGCTCCTTAGAAAGAGGAATGGTTATAGCATGGAGAGACTGAATCAACTTCTATGAAAATGGTTTCTGCAGCAACTAGATGAGGGCTCTTTTCATCTCCCCTTTCTGAAGGAAGGAAAACCCCATGATAATTTGAGGCTTTGATTGTATATATTAATGTTCCAAAATAAAATTCTGAATAATGATAAAAACTATACCTTAAGTTCCTGGAAAGATAACTTAATTCAGATTTACCGCAGGCAGGCATGAATTTTTAATGCACCCTAATTTCTCAGGCATTTTCCTACAGTATTTATTATTGTATATTCAATGTTGCTGTAAGTAAAAATGAGTCTTTAAAACTGACAAAGTTAAGCATGTCTTTCTTGCTACACCAGAATGTTCTTCAAACCAAAAGTTTAGCTGCAGATTGTTTGTGCAAATAAAAATCTAATCTTTTTTAACTATAGACCCTCAAAGACAATTTGAGCATAGAAGAAAGGAAATCACAATTTGCTGAGTAGATTTAGGCTGTGTATAATCAGTAACATTAAAAGGGACTGACATTTCCTTGTTTTTATGGCCCAATTCTGATAATAATACTATTTTAATATGATTTATTACATAAGCAATAACATTTTTACTTTGAGAAGGCAACATTGTAGAAACTAAAATGGAAAATCTGTTGTTAAAGTATTTAGTGAAGGCCAGACTAAACACTTGAGCCAAACAGCACAGATTACATGCTGTATGTTCAAGGCACTCCATGTAAAAACAAGCCAACTGTAGATGTAAGGAGAGACAAAGGACTGAAAAAAAAAAAACCAAACAAACACAAAACAATAGCAGATAATAGGCTATTACTGTGTTATGTTTGAAAAAGTTGTGTGAAAACTCAAAAAAAAAGGGACACATACTTGAAAGAATCTCTCTTACAGTGATTATAATTATCTAGGTATCAAAATCTCTCCTATTTAAAGTGTTAACTGTGGTAGCGAGAAATCTGCCAGTACCCAAATTAGTCTGGCATTTTCATGGTGTCAAATACTGTAATATGTACAACTGGCAAAGAACAACATAGTTTCATGCATCAAGTGCCAGCAGCAACACCCCACTAGCAGTGCAGTTTAATGGAGGCTATCAAACTCGAGTGTACTGAAAACCTCTTTCTTCCTCTTTTTTGGCAACCTTAAAAATATAAAGACACAGTCATTAGACTGGAATTTACATGACCTATTTTTCCAAACATATGATTAACACATTACCAGCATCACACTCTTAAAGAAAAATTATTTCTGATACTTGTCCAGACACTGAACACATGAAGGAAGCAGCTCATGGTACATCCATGAAACCATCACTTGACACCACATGCACAAATTCTGATCAAGGCTCTTCCTCCAGACTTTTGGACACGTACAATATCAGTGTACTGAATAATTATTTATTTTCGTTTTGTGAGTCATGGCAAGAGACATCTTTTTTGAAACTTACAAGCACATCCTGTGGATGAGTTTGCATACACCTTACATACTGTATTAGAAATGTAGATGTTTGTCCTTGTTTATTTAAATATGATACACCATGTAGCAAGATAAGCACTGAAATAGCAAAGTGACAGGCAAACTAGCAATGCCTAAATCAATTTAAGTCCTAAAACATTAAAAGCCTTGAATACTAATTTCAAAATTTCTAACATTACTTTCATTGCAAAATATATACAATCCTACATATAAAACCTATTTGCTTTTCCATTGCTGTGTTACCAGATAGGCAGTGCTTTGGGACTGTGATCTAGAGAAATTACTCTGAGCACCCTCCTGCAGTTTTCACAAGACAACTATAGTGAGCTACCCATGCGTAATTAGTTCACCTTAAAACTAGCAATTATTTTTGCACTTGCTTGTTCTTTATTGCCATTAAAACTGGTTACATCTCTAATGCGAACAGGTCCGTCCTGGTGGCAGAGGGAAAGACTCTTCAGGCCCCAGAAGGAAGCAGCAGTGGGACAACGAGTGACTGAGACACAAAGCTGGCTGTGACTTCTTGGTCTTTCTTGCCAAGCATGTAAGATTAGGTGCTAAATAAGTAGCACTTTAGCAGTCTGCTGCAGGCCACTTGTACTTTTCCTCTTTGAAGGAAAATGAAGGACAAGTGAGGCTGGGAGTTGCCACCTCGACCTCGAATGGGATGAATCACAATGTGAGGGACCTTTGAGCTGGGACACAACCTTATTCCCTTCGAGGGGAAATGCTTCTCCCCTTTCACAGGAACTGTCGCTGCTTCTGTTGCCTAGGAAGATCACAGTGGGGCATTTCCAGCCACTGTCCTCCCCAGGCATTGTGCCCTGATGGGAGGCGATTGAATACAGATGGCTGGGAGGTATTTCAAGACAATGGGGCACCCATCTTCTTGTGGGAATCAGATGTACAAGCAGGAAAAAGTGGAGACCCTGCCTATTATCTTGCTGGGACAGGCAGGGAGACAGAGCTGACAAGGATGCCCATGGCTGTGTAATGAAGTCCTGTTCTTAGAAATCAGTAATGGGTAAACTTCATCAGTAATTTTACGACTATATTTTAGTGCCCTTTGTTGACCTTGAAATTCCTCAGGTTAACAAAATTCTGAAGAATTACAGCAAAGTTTCCCACTAGAACCTCCTCATCTTGAGTATGGTTTTTTTGTTGTTGTTGGGTTTTTGTTTTGTTTTGTTTGTTTGTTTGTTTTTAAGAGCTTTGCCCCTTGTGTTGAGAAATTAAAAACTTATGTTCAGGTGCCTGGTTCCCTCCATGGTGGCTTCACAGCAGTTCTTATTTAAGATTTGCTTATCATCAGCTCAGCCTGTCAGGAGCATGTCTCTCTTCCCTTTCATCTTTCCATAATCTTCCATTGTTCATCTCCAACAAACGGCCGTTGCTTGTTGCAGATAACGAAGCCCCCTCCTAATCAGTTGCTCCTCTGTTCCGTTGCAGCTGATAACCTCCACTGCAATCGCTGATGCCAGACCCCCCAGCCTGTCCTCAGCTCCCTTAAAAACTCTTCACCTCTTGCCTGCCGCTTACATGCCATTTCTCCTCCAGCATCAGCCCGCAGATCCACCGCATCTTTCTGGACCGCAGGCGCTTCCTCTTCTGCTGCGACGTTAGAGATCGCTTAGTAAAAACAGGGCAGCGGCACCAGAAATTAAACACTGATCCTCTCTGTTACAAATTCGAAGCCTGTCACTGCACGGGCAGCAGATTTCACTGTACTCGACCTCCTTTATGTCCAATCGTTCGCTGAACTCGTCTACACCCTGTAACCAGCAACATGCCCTCTACAGGCAAGGTCCGCCCTTTCACACTGGTTTTCCTATGCCGGTGGAGAAGCACATAATTACCCTTTTCGAAGGGTGAACACGTGAAGCCGTATCGGCAGTCAAGTTTTGTCGGTAACCACTCTGCTCCCGGGGAGGAGAGCTGCCATCAGCCGGGCCGGACCAGCTATGACACCCCCCCCCCCCCCCCCACGCTCCCCTCCTTTTCCTCCCGAAATGACCCCTCGACGGCGGAGCGGGGGGGGCAGGTCCCCGCCGGCGGCCGCCACCGCCCGTCCGGGGTACCCGCGGCCGGGAGCGGCCTCCGCCCACCGCAGGCCCGGCCTCCGAGCCGGCCCCTCACGACGCGGCCGGGCGCGGCGGAGCGGAGCGCGAGCCGGGCGGGCAGGGGGAGGGGGCCGGCGCGGCGGGGCGAGGCGCGGAGCCTCCTCCCGGGCTGTTCTTCCCCGGCCGGACGGAGAGCGGCACTGTGTCCCCGCGGCGCACGCTCCGCCGGAGCCTCCCCCTCTCCCCAGTCGCCGCCGCCGAGCAGCTCCCCACGCCCCGCGGCCTCCGCCGGCGGAAGGAAGGAAGCGAGGGAGCCCGAGCGGCGGGAGGTAAAGGCCGGCGGGGTCTGGCGCGAAGCGGCGGGACCGGGGAGGAGCCTCGCCCTCCCCCTGCCTCCCGATAGGGCTGCGGGGCCCGCGCTGCTCGCCGCGGCCCCCGCCACCTCGGTGGGCGGGGAGGATCAGCCGGTCCCCGCCGTTTTGGGGGCCGAGGAGGCGGCCGGTGCCCGCGGCGGCTGAGGGCAGCTTCCCTCCGCCGGCGGGCGTGGGGCAGCCCGCCGGCTGCCTGCCCGCGCCGCGGCGGGGCCGGTGGCGCTGAGGGGCCCGTCCCCAGGCGTCACTTGGAGAGGAGTTGCCTGCGGGTGGGAGGGGAGGCGGCGGGGCGGGGGCTGCGCGGCGGGCCCGCCCGCCGGGGGCTCGGCCGAGGGTTACGGACCCCCCCACAGCCGGGGCCGCGTTGTCGCTGGCGCTGGGCGGGCCCCTCCGCCGCCGGGGCCTGCCCTCGCTGGGGGCCTTCCCGCGGGCCCTGAGGCTGGAGCTGCCGCTGGGTCGCCGCTCCCCGCCGTCGTGCCGAAACGCTACGGGCGCTCCTCGGCGTGAGGCGCCGGCTGCCCGCCTTGCCCCACCGGTGGTTCTTCCGAGCCCGTCGCCGTGCAAGCGCGGTGCCCGGCCTTCCTGTCAGAAACACCGGCTCCTGGCGCCGGCAGCCCCGGGGAGGGCCGCGGCGCCGGCCCCGGCCTGCTCTGCCGGCAGCGGCGGCCGGGGCAGGAGGGGTCAGTGCCGGCAAATCGGTGGAAACGCTTCGTCCGTTTGCCCCGAGCAAGAGATGGGGGGTGCCCGTGAACTTTAAAAGCGTCTCGCAAAGAACAGAGCCCCGCCAGATACAGTTCACCCCGTGCAAAATGAAATCAAAGTATTTTTAGTCCTTAAGCGGGTTGGTTGTTTTGAACAGTCCAGAACTGCTGAAACGGGTTGATCGGGTGGTTATTTGTGTTCTCCGTAGCGTAGTATTCTCACGTGCTTTGGACATGGTCTGGGGTTTTGCTGATCAAGTGCCATAAAGTACTGGGGCTTTGGAGGAGCCTGACTTCAAGTGAGAAGAAGAAAAATACATATTTACTATTACTTTCCTTAACTATTACTCCAAATAGCTAAGAACAGTTCAACTCTCAAGAGACGCAGTTTTTATACAGCATCTTGACAAAGTTTAGTATGCATCTCAAGTCTTTCAGTAGGATCTTGCAGTGAAAAGATGAGAATAATTCATACAGAACTTAGGCAAAAAAACCTCCAAAAGGATATGACAGGTAGAGCAAAAGAATAGAGAGGGTAATCAGCTTGCTCTTCATCCGTTTCACCTTCACTGGAATAAAAGCTTTAGATAATACATCTTGGGATCTGATTGGAGAGCCAAAGGTTGAGATATAAACCTGAAGCATATTACAGAAGTGCAGAAAAATTTAAGTATGGTATATGCTTGTAAGCATGAGAGTTTTAGCCCTGATTCATCTGGGTGCAGTCACCATGACTTGTGCTTGTGTCATGTGTTTGCAGCACTTTCAACTTGCTACAGTTTGTGTTTCTATAGATTATGAGAAGAGCTTGTGAAGGAAATTTAACATCATCAAAGCACATCTTAAAAATCTATTCATTTGTTCTTTACAGGCTTTCTCCTGTTGTGTTTTGTTTTTAACTGTGGAGTTGTCCTGTGTCTTTGTTGTGGTCTTGTTTACACTTTTTAAATTATTTTTTTATTTTTTTTACTTTTTAAGAACTCTCCCTCTGTTGTGTTAATGCATTTGAACTGGGGAAGGCACTGATGTAGAGGGAAAGGGAAGCGAGATTCTTAGTGTTACAAATTTGAAAGTGCAATAGTACTTGATGTTAGCCTAGGCATGGTGTTAGGAAACATCCATGGTATACTTACAGCTGTTTCACTTGATGGTGTAGGTGGATTCTTACTTGTGTCTATTTTACAAATGAAAATTATGTTGTCTTGAATTAGTGTATAAATATGTTGTAATAGGGACTTTGGGGGGTTGTAGTTCAGAGTTGTTGCCCAGTCTCTTGTATTTCCTTCCCAATTGTGTACTGATCTGTAGTCTATGCTAAATGGCTGATATAATCAATCTAATTCTTATTTCAAATAGAGTTATTCTGCATATGAATTTAGCTCTGGTAAAAGTTCCTGAATTATTAATCTTGAGTTTTAAGAAGTTGCTGCCTTTGTTTTTCTTACAGAGGCTCTGCTACTATAGAAATGTCAGTGGGGCATTAATTAGCTGTCTAGGTACACTGCCTTTCAGAATTAGGCGAGGCCATAGGTTGATATTTTCACCTGAACCCAGCTGTGGGTATGGAAGAGGTTAAGTTTTCCAGCTGTTTCTTCTCAGGACTCTGCTGGGGATTTTTGATCTACCAGTGCCTTGGTTTATGTAACTGATCTGTGTTCCATCTGAAAAATTGCCTGTGTTAACTCAAATGACCATTTAAAACTATTTAAATGGACCTGGCTGACATTTTTCACAGTCATGTAAAGTGAACTCATGTGAACTACTCTCTGAAGGTAAATGACAGGTTTAAGTCTCTCTCAAGTAAGTAATGACAGTCATTTGGAGGCTGTAAGCTTTTTGTTGATGTACCTAGATCAGGATGAGGTCAGCTGTCTGTGGTTTACATTAAGCTGAAAATAGTTTTTATCTTTGTAATAGGTGTGTAATGGCTGTTGGTGTGCTATGTTCAGCTGGCCTAGTAGTTTAAGAAATGGAAGTGCATTTGTCGTTATGAAATGGATAAAATTGCCCTGATAGGTCTGTGTAATGCAGTTTCTAGTCCTAGTACCTGATACATGATTTTATTTTTTTTCCCCAGAAAATACTTAGAATGTCTGTGTGAATAAGCTATTCTCATTCCCATCTTGCTTTCTTTATGTGATTTGGTTTCTTGCTTTCTTTAAGTCGTAATTGTATGATGCAACTTGAATCAGTGTGAGTTGGCTAAGTGTAGTATGTGTCACTATAGTGTGTTCCTGTTTGGGAAATTCTGGAATGGTTCTCCTGTTGCTGTTGTATGTGGACCATGAGCAAAGTTCGCAGACTTTGTGTCTCTTTCCAACCTGACTTCTCAGCTTCCTGATGTGGCTGTTACTGTTTTGAGGTCATTGGTTAATAGATAACACACCTTGGTGAAAAATGTGGTTTATGTTCTAGCACACCTTGTGCTCTGGTACTCCGGCAGTCATGATTATCCGTCTCTTCAGTGTCCTCTTCTTGCAAGTGCTATCTGCAAACGTGAACGCATCTTCATTTTTTTTTCTGTATTTGAGCCCATGCTCATGTTCAAAAATTTCTTCTGCTTCAGCTTTGTCCCAGTGTGCAACAAACCTTCGTTTAGAGACACGGAATTAAAACCCATATGAGGCTGTTAGGAGGGAAGTGGCAGCTGGGGATCACCAGAGTGCAGCACTGTATGTATCATGGACTTGAAGGTCTACAGTAGGAAGAGATTATACTGCAGAAAGTTGGCCAGACAGTGCTGCCTTTGAGTTGTTCTGTGTACCACACACAAGGGAAAGGTGTGGAGCTGCGAAGCCTTTGTATATGGAAGCACCAGAAGCAAGGCCTGGTTACATTGCAGAAGCTCTGCTAGGTGTCTGCACGGGTCCGAAGATTCGTGCACTGGAGTTTGAGTCTTTGACAGCCACTTCCCTTTGTTCCCAGCCATGCTAGGGTTGTAGCATCGTCCATCTTCATTTGCATCAACAGCTAAAGCAAGCCAAGATGTGAGGAAGCAGCATTTGCGTTGCCAGCCCTGGCTGCTGCCAGTGTGGAAAACTCTAAATAAATATTCTTTTAATGTCCTGCATTTCCTTCCTGCATAATATGCCACCTGCATGTTCATGCCCATAATAATAAGCATCACTTGTGATCTTCAGTAATACTCTTCTTTTACAGTATCATCGCATCTTGTTGGAACCAGTGCTTACCTTTGCTGCCGCCCTTTTGCTGGTTTTCCAAGCATTAAAATAAATACTCATCAGAAAAAAAAAAAATCTTAAGAAACAGGAAACAATAATATAGCAGAATACAGCAATGTTATAATTAACCTAATTCAGAGAGTCTTGTTCAGCTTTACGATGTGATATTTTCCTTTATCATCCTGAACTATTTTGTACATTAGATTATATCATAGCTTCTTAGCTAGATATTGCCAGAGTTGCAATTAAAAAAAAAAATAAAGATGAAAAGCTATTTCCAGCAACTCGGAGAGGCACCAAGTCTTGAATTACAGACAGCAGTGCCTGTATCTTGTATAAAGGCCTTTCAGAGACAGGTATGGAAATTTGTCTGGAGAGGATGTGAAAGGAAATTATGTTGTGATGAGGAACTGTAATTTTGCAGAGATGTGTTACTTCTGTTTGCTGCCCTGCGGCCTGACTTTTGGACAGTCTCTGGAAATATGGTGTAGGGAAGTTGCAGTTCCATCTGGCAGGAGTTCTCTTTTCTCTTTCAAAATACTCTCTCTCTCTCTGTTTCATAATGTAGAGCAGGAATACGATCTTAAGCAGTAGTACTGATTGCAGGTGTGAAACTGCAGAAGCACCAACAGAACCGTAAGCCTGGCTGGTCTCCTTCGTTGCAGCCTGTTACGTTGCTCTAGAGGCTGGGCACAGGACACAGCAAAGCAGCCGAGCTGTGTGGAGTCTGCACTGGGGACAGCCCAGGTTGCCTGGGCGCTCTGCCTCCTAGAAGATCTCCCCTCAGAGCTGAGTTCAGCCTGGGCATGGGTAACCCTTACTTCAGCACTCCCAAGCAGGGCAGGGAGCTGTATGGGAGGCTACCAAAGAATGTAGGAGGGAAGCTCTAAAAGGATCTGATATCTCTGAGCTCTCCTAGGGCTAGGAAGACATTTGGCAGATACTCTCATTATTTACTGGGGGAAAAAAAAAAAAAAAAAAAAAAAAGAAACAAAACCCCCCAAAAAACCCAAGCAACAACCATCTCCACCTAAACAAGGAAAACGATGGCTTGTTGATTTTTCTAGCTTGTCAGGCTGCGTATCTCCGTGCTCCATAATCCCAAGGCCACTTCTTTTTTTGCCACATGCCAAGATTAGACCTTCAGCACACAGCAAAAGGAAGGTGAGTACAAGAAGCAGCTCTTACCAAGCAGACCTGGTGCTGGAGAATGTACTTACTGGTGGCTTTCCTCCTACCTCGATGCTTTAATAGTGTGCACCCAGCAGGAGATCTGCCTGTCTTTGAGAGAGGCCTTTCTGCGAGCTCGTGCTCATCTGTACGGAGGGCCTCTAGCAAGAACAGCTTCCCAGCTTAAAAGGAAACTATGTGATGTGGAGTTTGACAGCTTCTGTCAACTGTCAGACACCAGCTGACTGCCACTGCAGGTTGACTCCTCGCTATGTGGCACGTGGAAAAGAGCCTTTGAGTCCTTCCTAGTAAACAGGTCTCAGCTCTTCCTGAAAGTTGTATTTACTTCCTAAACATCTACTTCAGATGCATTTGTGCTGGTTTTGTACTCTTGAACTATGCGTGTAGTTGATGGACAAAGTTTTTGTACTCAAAGCAAGATTTATTTTTTTGCAGCTGCCTCAAAAGAATCTGTGTATGGTCCAGGCCATACACAAACCCTGAAAATCACGAAAGTGGAAAAACACCCTAGCAGAGCAGATTGCGTAAAGCAAGTGTGTTGAGACATATGTGTCGGTGTCTTGCACTGTGACAGAATTTGATGTGAAAAATAAGACCTTAGTTAAAATTGTTGAAAAAGCCAGAGCCCTTGTAACAACCAGTGGAAATAACACTGAATGGGAGAAGGAAAAGAGCAGAAAAGATGCTTGAAGTGTTTTTACAAGCGCTTGGTCTGTAGCTGGGTATAGATTTTCACATTAAATAACAAAGCATTTAGGTGGCCTGTTCTGTTGCTGACTGCTGGCAGAAATGGAAGAATGCAGAAGGCTCTCAGACTGTCTCCATGCTACTCTTAGGCCTATTGAGAAAGTTTGCTGGAAGGCATTTCCTTTTTTTCTTCCCTTTTTACCTTCTGGTTTTTAGAGAGGGGGCTTGAACACTGTCCAAAAAGAAAAGCTTCATGCTTTATAAATATACCTAGGGAGTGCAATGGTTGGGTCCCAGTTTGATTTCATTGACTTTTTTCTCTTGTGCTTGTATTTAAATAATCGTTTTGCTCCAATTAGGAGACTTCAAAGTGCAAGTGAACAAAGTGTAGCAATAACCTTTGTATTTTAGTGTGTGTGTTACTAGAGTCTGATTCAGAAAGCAGAAATCTGAGTAGTGGAAATAATGTAGCATTACACTGTTATCAGGTACACTTCTGCCTTTTCGTTCTGTTCAAGGCTGAATTTATATTCAGAGATTAAATGTTCTGTAAAATTGCTGAATGGCTTTTCAGCCTTTCCTGGTGTGGTTTTTGTGGAGCCACATGTTTGAAAGTGGGGTGAATAGCGTTCTCTGCCTGCAGCCTATTCTTTACTTTGTAATTTTGATTCTCATCATCAAGTTCTTGCTTATGTGAAATGTTCTGCATGTTTTAATGGTAATTCTTAATGCTTTGGGACAGTGGAATGAGGTTAGATGCAAAACAGGAGACAGGTTTCTCCATCTCTTGTGAGGACTGATATAAAATAATTGATCCATCAACCTGGCATGTTAGGAGTGCGACAGAATACTTGTTCCAAATTCTTTACCTGATTTGGGTGTGTATGCTCATATTTTGGTGTGGGTTAGTTTGTTTGTTTTTTTCCTTTTTCGGTTTCATGGTTGGTTTTGTTTTTTTAAAAATTTATTTTAATTTGAAAACATAAGACTGTTGTCAGGGCAATGAGCTCTAGGCCAATATGTACACTGGATTTAAGCCAGGCTTTGAGTAGGCCTAACATCTTTGTTGTATACACAGTGGATTAGGAGTTTGCAGTTGCTTCAATGAATGTAAGTGCAGCTTTTTAGCATTGTTAGGGCATCACAAATTGGTGGTGTAAGTAACATATTGTGATTTTTGGTGTACCAGGTTTTCTTTGCTTAATTCACCACATGATGGAATGGATCTTTTCTTGACTGGCGTGGATATGTAGGACTATTCAAGATGGTTAAGAACTGTGGTGAAGAAGCAAGTGGAATGACAAGTGAGGAAACTTACTTTTATTCTTAACTAATTCTGCTGCCATTATGTTATTTCTTTACCTGATGTAAGTCAGCTTTTTTAAATGAGAAATCAGTACCTGAAATCAAGTAGGTATTCTTGTCTTTAGGAAAACTTATTTGAGCTCAACTTGGCATGTTGGATACTTTGTCAGTAAAATGTTAGCTGTGCTTACTCTACTAAAAACAATTATGTGTATTGCTCAGTGTGAAAACTTTGCTTAAAGTTCTAAGGTGTGTGAGCAAAATATCAATTTTAATTTGTGTTCTGATCATTCCTTTGTCAGGAGGGAGCATCCACTTCTGCTGACATCTAATTTGTATGTTCAAAAGTATGGTTTCCTGACAGAAGAGTGCATTATATTTTTTAACAGCAGATCTTTATTAAATATGCCACCTGTGGTGGTTTTGGAAAGATGAGAAGGGACCCACTGCGGAGCAACTCAGTGAAGCTGAAAATGTAAGTTCTGTGCCATTACTATTTTATTTGAATTGCAAATTTAGGGTTATATTTTTTTTCTGCCCAGTCTCCAGCATGTCAGTATGTGTGTGTCTGTGTTTTTTAAAAAACAGAAGATTCAAATGAACATTACGTGATAAATATTTTATGTAGTTTGAAATTTTAAAATTGTTTAAAAACCCCAAAGCCCAAAAGCAAACCAAAATTAAAAAAAAACACAAACCCCAAACCAACCTCTTTTATATGTATGGGTCTAATTTCTTTAAATTGATGAGAGAAATGTAAGAGTGTATACAAATCAGGCAGCTTTGGTTAGATTGGTTGAATGTTACATTGTATCAAGGCTGGAAACTTCCATTTTCCTTAAAAAAGGAAGAGAAGTAATATTGAAAACTATTTCGTCATTTGAACTTGATCACAGTTAAACAGAAATGTCCCATGCTGCTGAATGATTTTAGTAAACCTTGAATAGTGACTAGAATATTTTTCTGGTCTGTTTGCTTAAAAAAGTTCTCCTAATGACTTTGAAAAAAATGTGTTTACTGCTGATTGTTTCCCAGTGCAGTATCTCTGATTTAAAGAGCCTTCTGGTATCAACTAACTCACTTAAAACATAGTTTAGTATATTTCTTCCTTTATTCTGTGTGTTCTGTCTCTTCTTGAATACTGTTTCCTTCTCTTCCTATACTTGAGGTTATATATGTAATAGGACTTGCAATCAGTCCACTCGAGAATTTTGACACATCTTGAAAATGCAAGCTATCATGTGTGGTTTCTAAGAAGACATCCCAGTGTAAAAGACATATGAGATCTGTCAGGCCTTCATCAGGTCTTTATTCAGCAACTGCATATACATTATGATATTACACTGAAAATGAAACACTAAGCACATCTCAAGCCTGAGACTTAAATTGTTTTTCCAGAAATTTTGGAATAGTCAGGTGGTGCCTAATATTGTTTTATAGTAGCTTTTGTCTATTTTTGTAAAAATACAGTTCTTCAACAATATATAGCAGTTATTAGAAATCAAGGGGGAATTTCTAGCCTTTGCTGTGGAAAACAAAAGATGTTCAGCTGGACAAATTTAATGTAGCCTCAGTATAAACACGACTGGTGCCTTTTAGCTTAATTTTAGAAAACACATTTGTAGCGTGATTTTTTTAATTTCTTCAGAGTTCTAGGAGAATTCTTCACAGCAATTTTGCTGATGTAACTGTACTGGTTAGCAGTGTGATGGCATGTGTATGACAAGTCTATGTTAACAATTATTTTCTAATATAAATGGAATCTTAGATATTTTAAAAGTAGCAGATTTGGTTTTGGAGGGTCTTTGGGTTATTTTTTTTTCCCCTTTAGATTTTTATTTGGATCATATAAATGTTTTGAATTCTTTAGATTATGTGTCATAAGAAAGAGTACACTTTGAATTTTTCTAAGGACAACTTACAATTAAGTTAAAGTAAATTTGCAATTTGCTTTACCTATGTTGGAGCCTGGATGGTTTTTTTTTTTTCCCTTAATGTAAGGAGTCTGATCAGGATGATGATTATACCCCTGCTATTTTGGATTAATTTCTTCCATGGACAATTGTATTAATGAAAATAAAATTGAACCTTTTGGAACATGTGTCTGCAAGGGAATTCCTTTGAAATAAGTATAGGGATTTAAATTCACTCCATGCTTGATGGAAGAATTTTCTTACATATTTCCCTAAGACTCTAATGCTTCATCAATTACTTTATCAATTTAGGTATGAGATTGCAAAAAATGAGGGGTGGAAAACGTGCATATTTTTCCTTTTCTGTATAACTGACAGGCACTTGCTATTTATTGGAAACATTGGTCAACTTTCTTTCCCTAGTGAATTATAAACTCATTCTTAGAACTAGTTTATTAAATGATTGGTTTTCCTTTCATTGGAAAGGAAATTTGAATGTTGTTAGTAAAATGCTGGGATTGAGACTTGGGATCTTGGTCCATCCGCTTGCTGTGCCGGGTCAGCCACTTCACTACACTTCGTTGTCCTGTCTGTCAAACAGAAAAAAAAAAAATGCATTGTGTTAGGTTGATTACATCGGTGCCTGCCTGTTTATGGCGCAACTGGCTTGCCTGTAATAGATGCTGATCTCTGGCTTTGTGTGTCTCTGCCTGCAGAATGTCTGTGGTGGATCCATCAAGCTCATAAGGAGTAGCAGTACTGGAACAGGAAACTCCTGAGGCTCATAATCTACCATCAGGAATAAATTCTGGCTAGTTAGAAAGATAATGATGTTAAAGTGCCCTGACCTGATGAGTCTATTTGTTCTCTTCTAGTTTGGTGGGGTTTGAAACTGATCTTATTTTGTAGAGAATGCTGATATCTTAATAACTTTTCTACTTGTAATGTTGCTTAATTTGGAAGGTAATTTTCATAGGGGCAGATTTTTGTACATGTGCTTGTTTGTGGTAGTTGAATTACTTTGGGAGAAGATCCTTAATGTCAGGAGATGTGTATTTCTGAAGAACTGTCAGTGAGGAGATGCTTGTGGATTTTGTTTTGCTTTGTTTTTAAAGGTGAAGTTGAGACTGCCACAGGAGCATTGGTTTTCATCAGTGCTGAAATGAAACAGCTGTCTGCTCTAATTGGATGTGTGTCAAACAGCCGTACCCAGAACTGACTAGCGAGCCTCTGAGTGTATTGCAGCCTCTGGCTAATTGTCTAGAATTCCCTTTCAGGGTGTTCAGCACAGCCCTGCTCTTCTAAATCATTATGTTACTACAACTCCATTTTCATCTTGGGGGAAAAAAAACCCTTCATCCGCAGCAAACTACAGACTGATCCATACTATGTCATCCAGAACTGATGAATGTAGCTGACCTGCAAGTCTGGCTATTGGGTTATTCAAAATTATTTCCTCTTTCATAGTAAACTAGTTTTCAAAAAGAGAAACTTGACTATTGGAAAAGGCAAGTCTCTAGATAAAATCCTCTGTAAAGTTCAGGGCATGCTCTTAAAAGCAAGTGAGAATTATTCCTTTTAGTTCAGCGTGTTAGTGTTATCTCTTATATACAGTGTGCTTTGTATATATGCAGGCATCTATTTTTATATACTTGTGCTTGGTAATACCAACAGAAGATATTGCTCAGGAATCGTTCCAGGAATTTAATTGAAAATATTGTGGTAAACAAAGGAGATTCTGTCAAAATATCTGTCTGCAATACTGGCCATGGTAAATACCTTATTTAAATTAAATCCTGGGCAATGCTGATCTATCTTTTTGAGAGTAAAATTGTAGAAATTGTTAAACCTAAGACTTTAGATGGAGAGGTGGGACAAAATGTGGATCTGTGCATTGCCTTAGCATATGAGAATGTGCTGGGAGTCACCAAGGTTTTGACCTGTGTGTAAGTTCTAAGGTGACTGATGTCATTTTCCCTTTTGCCTTCTTTTCCCTGCTGTGATTAATTGCAATAAACAGTTTAGGCCTCAATATTCCTGAAGCAATGCACTGTAAGTTTACTGATTGAGGGATATGCAGACTGAAGTGTGTAACATCATTAAGGTAAGATGTCCTAACATACAGTGGGATACACAGTCTAATGCAGGCAATACATTGGAAAGGGAATATCCTATAGTGAAGTAAGGCAATAGATTGTTGAAAGTTCTAGCTGCAGAGCACGGTTTTCAGCAGCAGGTCCTTACAGTATTGATCACTATAAGAGAGCTGGATTAAAACATTGACAACACTTGGAGCATTCTGCTTCATATTTTTTAGCACTGACATATTGGGTGAAGCTAGGTCTCAACCTTTTTTACTGGCTGGAAGATGAATCAATTAGAAATACAAGTTTGAAAAACATGACTTGCTATATTTTTTTTTTAATTGTTTTGCTTAAATACTTTTTTGTGACAGTGAAGAATGTCTGACGGATGGCTAATCAGAGGTGAACCAAAAAAAAAGTATCATGAAAAAAACATCTTCAGTTGTCCCAGCTCAGTGTGGCTGACTAGCATCTTCTGCTGTCATTTCTCCTTTATTTTTGGAGTCCGCCTCTTCTTTTTCCTGTGTATAGTTTTCCTTGGTGTGCATTTCAGACTTCTTTGACCTCTTCATTGTTTCAGACGTCCATCTCATTTGTCTATATGAGATCCGTATACATATGGTAGAAACTCCTGGGATCCTGGAGTTGTCTGTTTTTCTTACATAAATTTCTACAATTTGGGAATGTAACAGTCCACCCTCTTCTAAATTATACTTCTCGTTGGCTGCTGGAAGAGATTGCTAGAGAATAATGGAGAAGTGCTGTCTAAATCTGGCACTGATCTGGCATCATCTTTTGTGTGCCAATGATCCAGGGAGGGAAGGACTAAGTGAACTTGGAAGTGCTGCCATTGATTTATCTGCACATGTTGCATTGGTCATCACTGGCAAGATGATCTTTATACAGAAACAGGTATTTTATGGTCTACTCAGTAACTGTTACCGCTAACTAGTGACTCGGCTGTAATTAACTTCAGATTCCGAGCTTTACCAAGGTTTGCTAGTCTTCTGAATAATTATTTGTAAAAATTATAAATTAGTTAGAGCATCACTAGAACACAACAGAGCTTTGATGTTATTTGATATAAAGAAAAAACTGAGATCACACTATAGTCTGCGCTTGTACTTCAATTAATAATAATTTTCCTTTTCTATTTCAAGATTAGTGCAGTAATTGCAGTTATTATAAATGCCATAATGTTTTAACTAGATGTATTCAAAAGCTTTATGGCAGAAGTAGGGGGGTGGAGAGAAGCCTCTTCTTGCTTTATGGCTCATAAAGCTGTAAAATGTTTTTAACAATTAAAAAAACCCTACACAGGCTGAGGTTGGAAGGCCCTTCTGGATGTCATCTGGTTCAACCCACCTGCTCAAGCAGGGTCAACTGAAGCAGGTTGCTCAGGGCTGTGTTCAGTCAGGTTTTGAGAATCTGCATGGTTAGAGACTCCACAGCCTCTCTGGGCAACCTATGCCAGTGTTTGAACATCGAAGAACCCCAACTGTTTACTCTTGAAAAATCAGGGGTTGGGGAAAACCTGTCATGAAGGACTTCTAGGAGATTTGGAGATATCCGTTACATTTTTCAGTACTTTTGAAGGAGGAACAAAATTTCTGAATTTTAACTGAATATAAGTTTTCCATAATGTTAACTGGTCGTCAGTAGGTGTTAGCAGAAGAATATTTGTGAACTGGCTGCCTTGCATTGCTTCTTTTACTTTTCTGGATTTTTCTTTTAAACTCCATTTTATTTGTTCTCTTCCAGGCACAGATTCAGTATCTAGTTAGTTGGAAAATAAGGCTGCTATTTAGCTGTCAGCCATTTGAAAAGAAGAAAGGCAGACTTCTAGAAAATGCTTTCCTGGATGCTTATGTATTTTTTTTTTTTTGATCTTTTAGCTATCTAAATAGGAGACATGGACATGTGACTGTGTATTTTATTATAATTTCTCTGTTCTCTTTTTTCCAGGTCTGCTATTTCTGTTATGCATATCACAGTTACAAGAGGTTTTTCATGATTTCTGAGTTTGGTGCTGTCAGCCTCATGTGAACAAACTAAAACGAAAAGCAAGCTGATTTTTAGAAAACAAAATGCCACGGAAAAGGAAAACTGGTGGGAGTCCTTCTCGGAAGAATGGCAATTCTGACAGAACTGCTGTTGCTGTATCCCAAGGGGACCCAAGCTACTTAGTGTCACAAGCAGTGCATAGTGTCAATAAGGAAGACCTCTTCAACAGCATGTCAGAGATGTTTTCTGACCTAGATCCTAGTGTGGTTTATATGGTTCTGTCTGAATGTGATTTTAAAGGTAAATAATGTACGGTTGGCATTAGAGTTTTGTTCCATACACAGACATCTTTTAACTAGGGCGATTCCAGAAAAGTTGGTGTGGGTGTTGCAGGCATATTTGTGAGTTTAACTTTTAATGAGTAGGTGAGTCATAATATTTTGAAATTTTGTGACTCTTTCCATGCAAGATTCTCCAAGTTTGACAATGTTTCTGTGAGGCTGGTATTTTGAAGTAGCCTGTGTGTGTGCTCCATAAATGGAGGTACAGTTTAAGTGGCTTGTTCTGTGACACAGAGCAGGTGGTGGTAGAGTTGTGAGGAGAATCTGTTTCTTCCAATTAGTTTCTGTGTCATGTCTTCTAGATGCATAAACTGTTTCTGCAGGAGGGGTTTTTTATGTTCATGTTCTAGATCACAATTTTTTAAGACAGTGGTAAGCCGTATGTGGTCCTGGCAGCATTTACTTTTCCTTAAATACTTGAATTGAGCTTTTGTTTTACTTTCTATTTTGCACTGTCATCTTGTCATTTCCACTGAGGATTAGTTTTTGCAGGATAAAATTCTGTTTGTCGTGTTGAATTCTCTGTAGTCTTGCTTGGACTGTGTTTCTTCCCCTGTATTCTGCCAAGCTATAGATCCACCTCTCCTGGCAGACTATTTTCATGTCTCTGCCCAGTCCTTCCCATACTTTTGTGGTTTTGAAATTCTTCTATATACAAGTTCATTCACTTATAATGACAGTGATGACTGAGATGCTGGATAGCAACATCTGAGGAGTTACTTGTCAGGGGAATAAGTAATATATGGAGCATTTTAATCAATCTGTATTCATATGATCAGATATGATTAGCTGAGATTTTTCTAAGAACATTTGCAAAGAAGACAGAGTTTGGCATTTTTTTTTTTGTACGTATGAAAGCTAGGTAGCCATTAAAAGGACTGCTTTTATTGCTGTTTTTACCTTACCTAAATTGTATGGAGTTTATAGCTTAATAGCGCTCTCATGTTTGTTGCTAGGATTGTTATTCCTTTTAAAATTGAAATTGATGTAATTACTGATTCATGCTTGGAACTTTTAATAAGATTTACCTTTATCAAAATAACAGATTTATCTAGAAGCTTACTAGAGAATTCAGTAAACACACCGAGTTCATTATTGTGTTGTACTATTAACAATAGTTTAAAAATTGAAAGATTAACATCTTTTCATATGAGTAATAATAAGTTGCTCATGTATAGTAGAGAAAATGGGAGGACAAGGAAGATTTTATTTAAAATGTGTGCAGAAAAAGTTGGGCTTTAATAGACTTAGACTTTTTGCTATGCTGTCTTTCAGGAAAACAGAAGCTTAGCTTTATGGCTCGTATGATACTTGTGCCAGGTTTTCATTGTTTCCATACTGACCACAGGCAACCTATACTCCATTTAATGGCTTTACAAAGAATTAATGCAAATACTGGATTTTTCAGGCTATATTACATATAACATTTTAAATTGGGTCTAGCTACAATGAACATATTTTTGCATAGTTTTGTCCTCAGTAGTGTTTTTCAGTTCATTTTAAACTATTTTGCCCATATGAGATAGGTTAGAAATAAGTATCCATTTAAACACAGAGTTCTGATATTTTTTCCAGTTAAACTTAATAATTTTTAGACACTATTTCCTTAGTAATTTTTATGCTTATTAGGTTATTATTTTGCAATATGTCTGTATTGAGTTCTGCCTTTATTTCTAATGAGAAACAGATCAAGTGAGTTGTGTTAAAAGATGAATTGGTGAACTGTCTTTTTCTTGTCTCTTTAGTTGTGATAGATACTCGTTCAAGTAAAAAAATTGCATTCACATCAGCTTGTATTTGTTCAGTTGACTGTGCTTTATTCTTTTTACTTTATTCAACAGTAGAAAACGCTATGGATTATCTACTAGAACTGTCCACCCATGCCAAAGGTGTATCATCTTCAGAAACATTGGGTTTTGAGTCAGTAGCATCATCACTAGCTCTTGTTAATCAGCAAAGATCTGTTGCAAATGAAAGAATGGGGGAAAGTACTGCAGAACAAAGTAATACTGAAGAAGGAAAAGAAAAGGTCCTATCACCTGATGTGCAGCTGACTGAAGAACTGGATTCCTTAATAGAAAATGCCTTTCAGAGATACAGCTTGAGTGATGAATTGCCTAATTCTGCAAATGACCAAATAGTACATAAGCAGTCCACGGAACACGATAGCTTTAATGAGTTTCTTGAGTGGGAAAAATCTGGTTCAGGTTGCAATGTCCTACTTTTTCCACATCAAACAGGGACAAATAATGAGGTTTTAGAAGAGTTCTGCTGTTCTCAGCCAACGTTGAGTCAGCTGAGTGTCCAGACAAGTTCACCAGCTGCATCAGACACTTCTGCACAGATATTGGAAGATGCTGATTTGTCAGAAATACATGTACAGCATGATGTAGCTTCAGAAGTCTACAAAGAGGCGAATGGAGAAATGTCATGTGGAAATTCTGATCAGACACAAGATACTGTTTTGGATCAAAAAACTGTGACAGCTGCTTCTGGTGAGTCCTCCCACAGACCTCTGGAACCTGGAGCAGCTGTCACTGGATATCCTAATTCAGGGTGCCTGGAACGGCATGAAGAGGTAGTAACTGCTTTTAACAGCCACCAGAGCACTTCTCTTCCAGAGACGTATCTCTCTGTTGAAACATCCGGTTTCAAAACACCCAAACCTGCAGATTTTCAGCAAACTCAGCAGGATTATAACTTAAATTTTTCTACACTGTCATGTCAGCCTCAACAACACTGGAATCTCATGGCTCCTGTGTTTTATCCATCCAGTGGAAGTCACAGCTTTTTAACTCCTGTGGCTGTCAGACCAGGGCAGTGGAGACCTGTTTCAGACTATAGAACTCTGGAAAAAGGACTTTTTTTTCCCTCTCCAGTGGTTTCAAATGCCTGGGATAGCAACCCTTCTCTGAAGGTATGGGGAAATCAAGATAGAAACTCAAAATTGAACCTCTCGCAAGCACAGCAGCCACCTGTTTGTCACATGATGAGAAAAAAGATGCACCTTATAGGTCAAGTACTTGTTCTTCTCAGAGGTGTTCCAGGATCAGGAAAATCATATTTGGCAAGGTAGAACATCTATATTGTGAGCTTCTAAAAGAAATTACTTAATTGTGTACAGGATTTAGTGCAGGCAGCAGCAATTTTCTGACATTTGTATATAGTTATACCCTAATTGCCAGCTACATGGTACATGCAGCATGATGAGTAATAATAATTGCAGAGAGCTGAGTTGGTTGCAGCTCCTTGACCTCTAGTGGAAATTGGAGGGGTTAGCTTTAACTTCTGTCACTGGCTGAAGGAATTGATGCCAGCAGAGGATCATTGCAGTAGTATTAGGTGTACTGTATTCCAATTCCTGTTAATTTGGGGTGTTTCCTTCCAGTAACATGGATGGAAATATGACAGCTGTTTATAGGCAGAAATTCTGCTTCCACTGTTGGAATTCTGTTGTGTAAGTTATGTGTGGATCTTCTTGGGTTGAATTCTTGATTTCTTTTATAACTCTCCCAAATCCTAGACTGAGCTTAGACTTCTTTGACTGACACCCAAAATATTTGGTGCAATTAAGGCTGTATGTGTATTTGACAGTGTGAAAGTATGTCACTAGGTGTAGATGGAAGAATACCTCCCTTACTGTTTTGAAATGAGACTTGTAGGCAACCTCTCTCAGCTCTTTCCTCTAGATAACCTCAGTCTTTGGAAAAGGAGGAAAACGATTATGTATCGTCTTTGCCTGGAGGGTGATTTTTTTTCCCCTTACCTAAGTTTGCTGCTTCCATTCCAAATAATCTTGGTTTGGTGCAAGAGACTAAATACATAAAAGTATGGTAGCAAATACCAGGGCTGGGGAGAAGAGGGAAAAGCTATTTACTTCTTGATCTTTCACAGGACTTTGCTTGAGGATAACCCAGGTGGAATCATTCTTAGTACTGATGATTACTTTTATAAACATGGACAATACCATTATGATCCTGATTGCTTAGGGGAAGCGCATGACTGGAACAGGAAACGAGGTGAGAAATAAATAAGGGATTAGTGTGCTTGTTTACAGTTCAGTACTTGTGTGCTGTTTAAAAAGCTGCCTGTTTTGTAATGCCTGTGTCAAAGGACAAGCATTTATTCCATCATATAAGTATTTTTTTAATGTGTGTGTAGAAAAAGAATATGAGCACAAACTCAAAAATCATCTGTCCATTTTGTGTTTTACAATTAAAAATGCCAGTGTCTTTATCAAAGGATTGTTTTGTCCTCAGATTTCGCCATGGTATGTATTTTGGGTTGTGTCCCATTTCTGGAGCAGTAATCTGTACCATCTCCCGGAAATACTTCTTCTGAGATGAGCCATTATATATGCATATGCAATAAGTAATGAGGTTGTTGATACCAATAACATGTACACAGATACTTTCCTGCTCTTACTTTTTTTCTCTTGAGCACTAAATTGTTACCAATTTTAAAACAAAATGATAAGAGGAAGACAGAATAAATTATATTATTTTTTCTTCCCATAATTGGTGTATTTTTTAATAGTGACTTCCACTAAGCTCACTATATGCTAAATTTGAACCATGATCACTTCTGCTGTCAAATTTCTCACCAGTGGAGAAATGGATTAATACAAAATGTGTGATTCAACAGTAACTTTGATTGTTCAGACACGTTGTAACATAGCTACAGAAACATGGTGCTGTATCTCAAAGTTAGATTCTAAACATTTCTTTACTGTGTATTTAAATTACAATAATTCTTTTGATTTTTCATATTTTATACAGTTTACAGAGTGGACTAATCTTAAGACTGTTGTAGAGCCAAGAATTTTGTATGCAACAAAGAAGTCCACTTTTAAGGTGATCATGTAGTTTTTTTTTTAGTTTAATTTACTGATTGATTAGTCATCTTGGTGCATTTTACATCTGCATTTTCATTCCTTGATTATCATACATACATTAATTCAGAAGAGTAATGCCATATCTTGGTAGCCTTACATATGAGGGGGGGGATTTCTAGAATAAGAGGGCCTTGAAATAGATCAGGCTGTGGCAAGAGTTCTTTACACAGTGGTTAATTAGCTACTTAAAAAATATTACAAATTTAGAGAATTAGTATAAATGTTACGTGTCTACCCTATTATAATGAAATTAACAATAAAATATATCACATTCTTTTGTATGTGTGTGTCTTTCAGCCAAAGAAGCATTTGAAATAAGAATCTCTCCTATAATAATAGACAACACAAACATACAAGCATGGGAGATGAAGCCTTATGTTACTTTGGTTAGTATTACAATTTGATCAATGTGAAAAGGGATTATTGACCAGCATGGCAACAACATATGTTTTAAAATGAGATTGTCATTCTCAGTCTAGCTGTTACTCCATAAGGAAGTCTGGAGTCAAAAAAAGTGTTACATGGAATCATATTACCCAGTGTCATATTCTGTGCGTGTCTGAGTATTGACCTGGCCTAGTTTCCAAGTAACAAAGCCAAGTGCCTTGCACTTGGTAGCAAAAATAAATATTGTTGAGGAAACTGAATTCTATTCTTCTTTAATATGATCAGTAAAATTATAAGCTACTTTTAAAATACAGTCAGCACTAATTAATAAGAATGATATTTGATGTTCCATGAAACTTGAAAACTGAGTCTTAGTTTCATCCTAAATATGACATAGGGGCAGATATGAGCTGCCCAGTAGCTTGCTTGAAGTTACGCAAATTTACTTGATTATATCACTTCAATAAAAATTAAAATAATGCACCTGCACTATTTTATGTTAGTAGTGTAGTGCTTTTATTTAGTGACTGAAAGTGACCTGATTTTATTTAGTACTAAGTAAATGCAATCTACTTTTAACTTCCAAAGTTACATTTAATGATTTAAATAACTTGGTGAACTCTGTTATAGGTTTCTCATATTCTGGTTTTCTGGAGCTTCTCACCTTTTCGCTTAATAGTTTCCAAATGGGCATCAGCACTTTTAGACTTTAGCTCTTGTTTTGCTGTTGATCATTCACCATTTTGGCTGATAGTTTTAATAAATTTTTTTTTGCTTATGCAGCTGCATTATTTTAAAAAATTGGTTCTGATTAACATAAATAATATATTGGAAGAAATAATATAGAATAGATCTGGAATTTCTCCTACCACGGTACAGAAACACATCAGAGAGTGTAGTATGTAGAACTGACAGCTTTTGAGCAGTGGTAGTGGATTAGTGAGCAGTGGGACTTAAAACAGAGAATTTTTATTAATAAAACTTTTATTTTATTATCCTTGCTTTCATTAACAATTGTCAGATTAACAGTTCTTTCATAAATTAAGTCCTTGATTTTGCTGTATACTGAAATAAAGATACAACAAAAGTTCTTCCAGGAGTGCAGAGTTTGGTAAGGTGATAAGAATTTTTTCTGAAAACAGGAACAGGGAGAAATGACACTGTACTTACTGTATTTCTCCTAATTAGACTTTGGGCTCCTTTTCTGTCATGATGAGACTAGGCCATATGAGGACCATTTAGTGGCAGCCTGCTCAAGTTCCACATATGACAGGAAGGCTGTCCACGATAGCTGTGTTAATGTAACTGAATTTCTTGTTTTGCAACTTGCTCGCATCTGGTCAGCTCTGAACGTAAGCAGTGAGCTTTTCTCTGTCTTAGAGAGGCTCTGAAGACATGTGCATAATATATCTGGAAAGAGATGTTCTGCAGTCTTGACTCGGAGGAGGTAGAACATTTAAGGAGATGATATAATAATAGTGATTTTTTTTTTTTCCCCCTGTAATCATGGCACACATTTAATTTTACAATAAGAGATAAATACACATTTTAAAAAAATCTCCATTTATATAATCAGAACTGAAACACTGAACAAAAGTATGTTATTCCAAATATTTATTTGATTTTGAAAAATACAAAAAACAGCTTTAAAGAAGCAGGCTATACATGTTGTGTGCTTTTTCATAGAAATAAGAAATGTGTGATGTGGCTTGTTCTGTACCATATCTGTTTTATTCAGGCTCAGCAGTTCAAATACAAAGTCATGTTCCGAGAACCAGACACTTGGTGGAAGTTTAAACCAAAGGAACTGGAAAGGTAAGAATGTAAAGGAAAATTTCATAAGAGATAGTTTATAGACCGTGGAAAATATACTATGATTTTTAAAAAGGTATTGCTTAGTACAGTGTTTGGTGAAGTAACAAGATATAAGTCAAGATTTTTGCAATAAATAGCTACAACATTAACTTCAGTGTGATTTTATATGTATTACAAGATTTTTTTTTCTGTCACTATTCTAATTACATACAAAAGATGCTATTAGCAGTAGGTGTTATGTAATGTTTTAATGATTGCAATTCTTTTGCATTTAAGATACAGTGAGTGGTCCTTTGGGCTCCTGAGGTTGCAAAAATGATGTTAGTTTGGGGCTGTTTTTTCACCTGTCTGGTCTGTTGCTTTACTTGAAATGTTTCTGCTGCCACTGAGTTTAAGGCAATCAGCACCTCATGGCCTGAGAGGGACAAACCCCTGTACATCACTATTGTTGTTTACTTCTTTAGCAGGATCTTCTACACAATCATAGAGCTATTATTTAGAGCCAGAATAGGCAAGACGTAAACCCTATGTAAGTGAATGATAAGGTACCTAGAAAATTGGCTGGATGCCACATTCAAAGGGTATGATCTGTGGTCCAAAGAGTGAATGCCAGGGTGGCTACTATTTAATGTCATTATTAGGACTTGGATGTTGGGACAGAGTGCACTTTCAGCAGATTTGCAGATGATACTGAATTGAGCAAGAGTAGTTTGTTCAGCCTTAAGAAGAGTATGTTAGGGAAGGATTGTATTGTTGTCTTCAGCTACCTTTTGAGAGGTTTTAGAGAAGACTAAAAATATCTCTTCTGAGAATTGTGCAGGGATAGGATAAATCAAACATAAGCAAGTTGGAACTTCGGAAATTTTGATTACATAAAAGAAAAAAACCCCAAAACTTACTTTGAGGGTAGTCAGGCACTAAAAGAGTTTGCCCAGAGGGTTTGTAGAATGTCAGTCATTGGGGATATTAAAAATTTAACAAGAAAAAACTCTGAGCAACATGATCTAGCTGTGCCTCCTCTGAATAGGAGGTTGAACAATGTGACTTCCAGAGGTCCCTTTCAACATAAGTTATTTTGTGATTTCATGTATCTGTTGTCATCTGAATTTGCACGCTTAGTTTAGGTTGGCCACTTTTCAAGCAAGGTAAGGAAAATTATTTTCTTTCTTAAAATAGAACTTAAACATTTTCTCCTGTACCTTCAATTTCTGTTTTGCCATCCTTGGCAAGATTCACTTGTTCCAGGTGGAACGGCTGCAGAGCACTTTGCTAGTTGGTGTTTTACAGTCATTGAAAATTTCTAGCCAAAGGGTGTCCAAAATAATAGCTGAATAGGTTTTCCTCAGGTCTCAAGGAGTTCTTAGTTTAGCAAAACCAAAGAAGGAAGACTGACTTCATATATCTGCCATACCCAGTTTGATATCCTGCATCACTGTCAGGATCTGGTACAGTTCTAGGTTTTAGTATTAAGCAAAACATCCTATTGCGGACCAGGGCCACCAGGTGGGGTGGAGAAGCCAAGTAAAGCAACGATTAGTCCAAGATACCCTGTTTGGAATGCCTTAGTGCACCAATATAGAAAGACTTGTTGTTTCACAGCTTTTGCCCTGGCCCCCTGAATTCTCTGGTTAGTCTTGCTGTAAGCTTATTATCATCAAATTACTGTTAAATGGTTCTCTTCTCTTATTGTAATATACAAATCTTAAATGTTTCTTTTTTTTAATTTGTAGGCGAAACATTCATGGTGTATCTAAAGAAAAGATCAAAAGAATGTTGGAACGGTATGAACGCTGCCTTACTGTTAGTTCAATACTGGATTCTTCAGTTCCAGACAAATCAGAAGCTGCTGGCTGGAGTGAAGATCCTTGTCAGGAGGAAAGCCATAGGTTAGATTCTTTCACTAGCTTTGCAGTCCCAAATAAAAGGATAAAAATTCAAACTTCATAGTAATGGAACTTGCATAATGCTGTTGAACAGTAAATGCATTAAAAAAATTGTTAAGTAATAAGAAATACGTTACATAGTTTTCTTAATTCTTAAGAATTTCAGGATTTCTAGAAATCAGCAGTAAAGGTATCTAATCAACTTTCCAATGCTTTATGAAAACCTCCATGTATGGCTGTGTGTTACTTTTCAATAAGCCAATCTTGGCTGATTTTATCTTGGAAATGAAGAATGTTGAATGTATGCTGTAGATATAAAACACTTAAAAACTATAAAAGGCTTTTCAGAAGAATGTAGTCCCAAATATGAGCAAATTACTGTTTCGGAGTCTGTGTGTCAGTATTAAGCTATGTCTTTGTGGTAGAAGGTGTATTCTTCACATAGTAGTAACAAGGTATCTAGTTGCTCTTGAGTATATTTAATTTAGACTTGTCTGAATTAATGTTGGTTGTGTACATGACTTTTGTAGTGGCTAATCTGAATAATGCATAAGATTTTATTGTAGTTATTTTATTTGAGTTTTGCATGCTTAATGTATTTGAAATTAAATGGGCACTGATAATTAATGGAATGTAGTTGTTTGTAAAGAATGGTATGACAAGAATTGGCACGTTACCTCCTAAATAACTCTAGACTTTCTTTAGCACTGAGCCATCAGGAGAGAGCAACAGTCATTAAATAAAAGTATATTTACCAGTTTTGCTCATCTGAAGCAGAAAATGCCTGGCAGCAGAGTGCTTAGTACACAGCCGAATGCTGGGCATGGGGGAAAATAGACTCCTGAGAAAGTACTCTTAGCCCTATGCTGAAGTATGAAAAGGATGTTTACCAAGAAAAGTTCCTCTTTGCTTAGCTCCTCCTTTTTTGTAAAGGGGTGTTGAGGTTGGGGCTAAGTCGTCTTGCATTTGTTTTGTTCTCACTAGACTTCTCCAGCTGGATGATTAGTGTTCTAAAAGGTGGTTTCTGGATTAAATAGTTGAGCCAAAACTAAAAATGTGGACAAGTGTTTAGAGAAGGTTTGAAATAGGTTTATCGTTTATTCCAATTTGTCTTTCAGAAAGAAAGAGGCAGATTCTAATGTAAAGGAAGAAAAACCTTCTGTTTCTGATGTGGAGCCTCTTGAATTAGCTGAAGATGATAAAACTTTTCTCAGTACTTCTCTAGCATTAGAAAGTGACTGTGATCCTGAACACTTTCAGAAAGAGAAAAAAGAAATGGAAAATAACTCAGTGGAACACAATTCTGAGAACAGCACTGTTCAAGATGACTTGGATGTTTATTTATCAGACTATGTAGAAAAAGAACTGCTCTTGGAGAAGAAAGAAGAAAAGGGAGAAAAAATAGAAAAAAATACTGGAACAGAAATGGATAAGGTCGATGTGACCGTGACTGAAGAGACTGTGTGCTTGCATACATGGGGAGTTGAGGAACACAATGATAACGTTCTCAAAGTTCACACTGAAGTTGAACAATCTAGCGAAATATCTACGGAACAAAATTCAACACAAAGTAGTAACATCGTGGAACCAAGCAGTTCAGCTTTTGACATGTCAAGAAAGCCAGAACTACTAAATTTTCTAGGTGACTGGCCTGTAGAACAAGCAATGGGACAGAGAGTCAAAAGAGCTAGAAGGCTAGAAAAATCTCTGAAGAATGATAAGGAAGGTAAAACTCCCAGTCAGCAGTGTCCTGAGTTAGATAAAGAGCAAGCAGGCCTGCCTGAGATCTGTACTGTTGAAAAAGGACTTGAGGAAGAAAATCTAGCCTCTGTTAGTTCAGATAAAGTTACAGCAGAATTGCAAGTGATAGGACATTGGCCTGTCTCAGGCTCATTAGAACAGAGACAACAAAGGTCAAGGAGAATAAGAAAGACAAGTCTAAATCTGCCTGATGAAGGTAGAAATACCGAAGGTGATGTTAATAGAAATGCTCTTGAGACCGTAGATGTGCTTCATGGGATACCTGTGAGCTCTGCAGCGGATACGCAGAGTTTGCATATGCACCGACATGAAACAGCTAGTGAAATAGTAGGTGAGAAAAAACCCCAGCAAAATAAAAGAATGAGGAAACATCACAAATTAGCCCTCACTTTTACAAACAACAATTTGGCCCATCCCAAAGAGGAGGAACACTTGTTTATGCTTAATGCAGCAAAAGAGAAACAGGACACATGCTTGTGTAGACAGAAAAGTAGCCATTCACAGACTGAATCACAGGACTTTGCTCTCCTATGGAGATTAGAAAAGAAAATGCTTTTCCCTGAGACTACCAAAGTATTGCATGGCAGACTAGATGGCTTCAAACCCAAAGACATAGATAATGCCTCAGATTCTCATGAAAAAATACCCTATCGAGTTATGTATGATAAAAGTACATTTGTGGAAGAAAGTGAACTTACTGATATTGATGAATCTGAAAAGCTAAATATGCTATGTAAGCTCTTTGACTCTGTTTCATTTGAAGCTGTGAAAGATCTGTATGAAAGATGTAACAAAGACATAGACTGGGCCACAGGTCTGCTGTTGGACTCTGAAAAGTTACGGAAAGATGTTGATACTGAATGCTTTCAGGTAAAAGAAGCTGAGCGAGTTGTCGCAGATCTTGATTTCAAAGCAAGTACGAACTATGGTGAAAATCTCAAAGTCTCTGAACAAACACCACAAATACTTGGGGCTGGTGATATCTCTGAGCCTTCAGAAGACAAGAACTCATCACTCAGCATGGCAGAAAGTAGTGCTACCAAGGCAACTGTGACAGATGCTGATGTATCTGACTCTTCGACTTTTGCCTTATTGAATGATTCAGTGGAACTGAAAAATTCTGGAGATGCAGCCCCTAGATCTGATGCAGGCAGCTCAACAGCAGGTATCACTGAGCCATCTGTTTCAGTAAAGCAGAAGATAGAGTCTGAGAGTCCTGTTGAAGAAACTATAGATCAGCCATCAGTCTCACAACTTGATGCAGGTTTCTTTATACCCATGACTTTGCCTCATGGTCCTAACACAACTTCTACTAATTTGAAAGCTGAATTAAATAAGAAAAGTGATAGTAACCCTTCAGAAACCAATGCAGAGAATTCCAAAGTGGCTGCTTCAGTACTGGAAAAGGATCATCCACCTTTGGTCAGCCCTAGGAGCGATAAAGAACTGGAGATGAATAAGGAAACCCAGGGGAGTTCCAGGGAAATAAGTGGTAAAGAAGTTGAAACTCCAAGCTGGGATGAAGCTAAAGCCAAGATAGAAAGCCCTATACCGTCATCAAGTGGAGCCTTCAATATAGATTGCCTAGAACTAACATTACCTCCTGAACTGGCACTCCAATTGAAAGAAATATTTGGGCCTGTTGGCATTGATGCAGGTATGGGCATAATTATATCTATATTTTTATGAGAAAACCCACTCAGTTTGGGTAAGAAAACCTTTATTTGTCTGTGCATTTTTTCCCTTCATGCTTGATTTTGGAACAGATTTGTGCAATTCCTCATGATACTCTTGTTTGCTGCTGTTAATCCAAAAATGGAACTGAACTATGCATGGTATAAAATATAAATGTAGTAATGCTTCTGCCTTTGTCTTTTTGTACATGTACATACCTTAAAATCATAAGAAAATATATTGGCATATTTGCATTTTGAGCAACAGGTGTTTGAGTCTGTATTCAAACTCTGAAGGGATATTAAGATGATAAAGAAGATGCAAATTATGGCTGGTTAGGAAAAAAGAGGAAAAAAGGAAGAAGAGAAAACAAAGGATAAATAGTTCGTGTTCTCTCTCTTTTTTTTTTTTTTATTTTTTTTCTCTTTTCTGCTAGAGATTACTTGATGTTGAAACACTGGATACCTGATTTATTGGTGGGTTTGACTGCTGGCCTCTTTGCCTTCCATGCCTACCTCCTCCTCCAAATAAAAGTTCGGTTTTGATAGCAGAAGGGTGTTTTGTTGTGTCTGAAATATGCCCTGCCTTTTTACTTGATACAAATGTACTTCTTGGCTTTTCTATTTTTGAAAGGGTGAAAAACAGTATCAGAAACATCTTTTAGGGAAAAGGTGTATCATTATGATATCATGATAATTCCTGCTGTTACCTTTAGAGCTAGAGGGGATACTTGGAGTTTGCTTCCCCGCATCAATGTGTTTGAAAGGAGGGATGTGACTGCTGTTGGGCAGTGGCAAGTATATTGTGTTACATAAAAGAAGTTGCATATGGATTGTAATAAAATAGGGGGAATCACAGTTTCACAAATGAAACTGTAAATTAACAGCTTACTTTGTAAAAGAAGGTTCTACTAAGAAAATGGAAGAAAGAGTTTAATTGTTCAGGTAGTCATATTTCAACAAGATAAAATTAATGTTAACTTGTTTTTTCCTACCCTTTCTGAGTTTTTGAATGCTAGATAACGAATTCTATGTGTAATGTTGTGGTGGGTTTTTTTTGTTTGTTTTTTGTTTGTTTTTTTTTTTTTACCTTGGCAGTTGCTGAAGTTTTTTTCAGGTATGACAGTTTGTGCAGAATCTCCAGAATTCTAATTAATAAGTCTAGGCTACTGTACTTTAATTGCTTAGATAAGTTATTATAGAATGGTTTAATTAATTTATTTTCTTTCTTCCATAAGGATCACTAAGTGTTGAGGATTGTGTGGTTCATATTGATCTGAATTTGGCAAAAGTGATTCATGAAAAATGGAAAGAATCTATTCTGGTTAGTAGATTTCTTACTTATAATATGGTATGGCATGCTTGCGCTTTGTCAGACCATTTGTCTCCTTATGTGTTGGTCTAAATGTGTAAGATGCAAGTATCTTTGGGAGAACAATGATAAAATACAATAATAGTTTGTAAAATAGGTGTATATCAGCATGTCATAATCATCAGAGATGTTGAAAGACAGTTTAAGGGGTGAAGAAACTGCATGTCACGAGTGCCTCATCACGAAACCAAGATTTTTAAGAAAGAAGGATCATTATGCACAATTTCACTACAAGATTGATCAAAAATTCCACTGGCCAAAAATTATTACTGGCTTTTTGATATGTAAGAAGAGTTCTTTCATGAATAATTATGTATACAGAATGTCTTCATGTATGTTAATTAAGAAGAATTCTCAATAGCCTTTTGAAACTCAGAATGCTTTTTGGCAAAATTTTTGTTTGGTGTATTTAGTTAAGGTTATGAAAATTTAGCAGTAGGGCATGTTCCTCTAGTTTGATGTGTTTTTGGAAACATAGTTCTATCTTTTAAACTTCACTTCGTAATTATTTTTATTAAATGTGTTTCTTTTAAAATATCCAATCTTTGAGAAATACTGTGAGACATTGTTTGGAGCTGGTTTACTTAGAAGCTAACAATTGCGAAGTTTCACTGCAAAATTTATAGCTTGCTTACAACATTTATGGCTTTACTGTTTTTATTTAGAAGCGTCAGAGGAAAGATGAATCATGTAAGTTGTCTGCAGAAGGTATGTTATGTATTTCTCTTAATTGTAAAAATACTTAATTCTTGTTATAAAAATATTTAATTCTTGAAAACTTCGGTAAGGTTGCAAATATTCTGTATGTTGCAAAAATTACGGATTTGTTTATTAAGCTAAGATTTTATTTACTGTCCTTGGTTCCATTTACCATTCTCTTACGAAAGTGCGGGGAAAAAATAAGTTAATTTAAGTAGAATCCAAGGTAGATGCAAGCAAAAAGCCTGTAATTTTGTGTACTTCAGAAAATTTAAATACAAGCTCTGGCTGGATCAGACAGCTGTTTGGTATAAATTCTGTAATCTCTGTGGCAAGAAAAGATGTGGCTGAAGATTTACTAGCAGAGTAAGATTTCTGCAGGTGAGGGAAGGAGGTCAGGAATACAACATTCGGATGTTGTCCTTGTCAGAGGAATTGATTGTAGCAGGAAGATGAATGTCCTTGTTCAGAAGGTGTTAAAATCTCTGGCGATCCAGTTTTAGTTCAGCTCCCAGAAGAAATGTCCCTCTGCAGCAGAACCTCACTACTCTTGCATGGGACCTGGGTGAAGAATTGGATTGGAATGTGGATGCAAATTCTCCACGTGAATGACAAAGCAGTGCTGTTAGCATTAAGTGTAGCATTAAGTGTAAAACCAGATTAAGCATCTGTCGTTAAATTGTACATGAAAGGCAGATAAACATGTAAACATATGAGTCAATAATTCTCCTATAAAACCAAACAAACCTCCCCACATAATGTAGGTGCAAGGTAGTTTACAGCTGTAAGATATGTCTTGACACTTGAAAATTTGGTGAGGGAGTCTGATGATTTTGCTTTTGTTTTACAAAATAGATAAAGACTATCAGACAGTCTTTGCAAAATAGAAGTGATGTAGGTGTAAACAATGTGTTGTTTTCTGTTTTAGCATTAATAGTATTGTCTTAACAAAACCCAAACTATCTAGCTTGAAAAACTTAATTATTTTGGCGTTGCTTGTATAAATAAGCTAATAATTGTTTTATGTTACCTCATTTTCATTGCTTTTGAAGGTCCTACTGTGATTCAGCAGATAGATACAGATGACTCAGAAATGCTGTTATCTCAGAATGCAGACATTAAAATACAGAAGAAAAAAATGAACTGGGTTTCAGGCTCATCTAATGACATACAGACTAGAAAACCAGCACCATCAGACGTTTTTCCTTTTATGGACCACTGGAATGCTCAGATTCAGAAAGTTTCTCTCAGACAAATAATTTCTGAAGAAATAGCTATTCAGGAAAAACAGGACCTGGTATGGATAGCACCAGTTTTTTATGCAGTTTAAATTTGTTACTGTTAATGAAACAGAATGTGTCTTATCTGGTGACTCCTCTTTGTGCTGCTGATTACACCCTGAATTCCTGAGACAGATGCTTGCTAATTAGTATTGTTTATGATTGTGATACAGGAGTTTGCTTGTGGTAGATGTTTCTGATTTAAAATAAATATAATTTAAAAATGTAATATTTTGATTGTTTTACAAACAGATCATGGTGCGTTTCACTACACAGGTTAGCATTTGTGTTTGGTTGAATTGTTTTTTGATTGCTCACCTAAAAACAAAGATCACTGTGATTTCCCAAACTTTACTGGGAAAGTGAATCAGAGAAAGTTCTTAATTAGCTCCATGCCTTGTTTAGAAGTGGATTGAACTGATTTTAATATTTTTTGTAAGGAGAACCCACAACATTCTTAACAGATGAGACATTAAAAGAAATACTTGAGGTTAATCTCAAACAGGTTTCTGTACCCACTTGTGAGAAAATGGTAATTTTAAACCAGATTTTTATTTATTCTATATCTTCTACGCGGTTCCCATACCCTGTCTGGTTTGTTGTGTGCATGCTGCTGCCCTCTGCTGCCCAGGAGTTGTCCAGAGCAGGCATTTTTATTTGTAATTGTCTCTGAGAAGTAGCTGTCTTGAAAAAAGAGGAGCTTTGTTTCTACTGGTATAGAAAGTTGGATGGATTAGCCTGTACTTTGAAAGAATGGCTTGTGGATTCTTTCTCTGAACTGCATGTATGTGGCTTACTGATAATAACAACTGTGATGTCTGCAGCTTTATTTTCAGTTTGGATTCATGGAGCTTGGCTTTGTTTTGACCACTTTTTTTTTTTTTTTTTTTTTTTAATCTGAGTATTAGATTGATCATTCCAATACTCAGAGCTGGGCTATAATTATGTTTTCATCTCGACTTCACAAATATGAATATTTATTACAGTACAGCTTCAGATGCACCAAACCAAAATTGTTTACACTTATAATAAAATACTATTTCAACTCCAGGCCCTCAATATGTAGAGAGGTGGACTTTGCACAAGCCTAGCATTGGAGTAGATAGACTAGCAGGGAATGCATTCCAGAACTTAAAGTTCTGCTTTTGCTTTTGTCCATGTTATGAGGGAGCTCCAGCTGAGTCACATCAGATGACTGCAGAGTACTGCAGTGGTGTATAGTACAACTCATCTGTCCCTACTTTATTCTTATCAAATCAGTGTAGCAGGCTGATACTGGCATGTTGTCATTGCTGTGTATCTACTGGGCAGATATTTTTTGAAATATTAACAAATAACAAAGTTGGATTGCCTCTCCTGTTACTATATTTTGTTCTAATAAAGAACTTATAATATTTTTCCTGTCTTCTGAGTAGAATCGTGTTCCTTCTATGGCTAGAAAAGACTGTGCTGCTAAACTAAAGGAGAAGCAACTTTTTGAGATGTTTCCAACTATTAATCAAAATTTCTTAATGGATATCTTCAAGGACAACAAGTAAGAAATCTTTAAAGTTCTTTGTAAAAATGGTATTTGGTAACACTATAGTGCGCAGTTACTATCTTAAATATTAAGAGTTAAGATCCTTCTAAAGAATGCCTTTTCCAAACTAGCATACTTTTGGTAGACCTAAATAAAGCTGATCTTAAAAGCAAAAAAGGCATAAAACCTCTGTGAAGACTTTGTTTCTTTTGGGGGGGGAGTAGATAGTTTCTCACATTGGGAGAAGAATGTCTCTGGCTATTGACCTCTGACTGACTGTCAGCAGAACTGCATATTTGCTCTAGAGCTGAGGTTTAAATCAAGTGAGAGAAATCAGTGGGGGTGGTGGTAGTGGGTTCACAGAAGATGTCATCCTCCCAAGTGGAAAACTACCTTCACATGATGTTAGCTGTAAGAACTTGCCTGGTTACTACAGTGGCTCTGAATGAATGAGCCATCTCTCCATCTCTTCCTGCCAATTTTCTCCCCTGCATTATATTTCTGGGGTATGTGGCTACCTTCTTAAATCCAGGTTCCTGAGAACTGAATTTTTTTTCAAGACAAACTTCTTTTTTCATCCTTGGCCAATTGAATGTCTGTTTCTACATATGGGTTTGCATGCCTACTTGACAGTCTTTCTGCTTGTCCAGGTTGCTATCTAAACCTTTCGTTGTGGAATGTTTAAAATACGTCCTTCATCCATCTCTACAGCTCAAACATTTCACCATCTCTTGGTTTTCACATTCTAAACTCTTCGTAATGTTGCCTTTCCCAAAGTCTGTCTTTGCTTTTGATCAGTTGTCATCTTGTCTGCTTAGCGAGCAGCAAGAAGAACAAAGAAGAAAGAGGGCTCATTAGAAATCTGATGGCAACTGATGTCATTATTTCATTAAATTTAATACAAAGCTTGACTGGAAATACAAGGTTTTTCGTGCATAATGATTTCAGAAAACTGATACAGTTTTAAACTAGTTTGTACTATCTAACCCTGGCCAGAGAACATTTAAGACAAAGTAACTTATCCAGTCCATAAAGCAGTGTTTAATTCTAAATTAATATCTGTTTGATTAAGGTAGGATGTGATTTACTTTAGTATTTCATTGTACTTCTAATATTCAAGTGCCCTTCAATTATGTTTCAATGAATCAAGATTGCATGTGTGTTGATGCCAGCAATACAATACTGTGAGTTTGCAAGCCTTTTTGTAATAAGGTGGAAAATTCCATTCCAGTGCTTTATTTCCAGTTTCCTCTATTTGTGTAACAATATCAAGATTTGTAGTATGAATTCGAATAAATGTAGCAGCTATTAATGTATTTGTAAAGTCACAGATTTTACTTACCCTTTACAGCTACTCTTTAGAACAAACTGAACAGTTTCTGAACTGTGTTCTGGAGGCAGATCCCGTAAAAACAGTCATAGCTCAAGAAAGTGTTCAGCAAAACGAAATTCTTTCTTCCTACAGTGCTGCAAAGAACCGGGAGAAGAAGGTATTTTTATTTTTTTTAAATAGTTACAAACATATCCAAAGCTATGTTAATGAAAACACCTTGCAATGCATGCTTAGCTTCAATATTGCAAATTCTTACAGGCAAAAAAAAATAAGGAAGACGATGATCCTTTGGGTGAAATATTTCAAGAATTTGAGTATCCACAGTATGATGATTTAAGAGCAGAAGCCTTCTGTCACCAGCAAAAGAGACAGGAATGTTTGAAAAAGGCTGGGGAGGCCTATCACATGGGTATGAAGTCTGTGGCAGCATTTTATGCACATCAGGTAAATGTAAATATTGTGGGTTTTGCCTGAATTTAGAGAGGTACTTAAATACTAAATTGGAAGTGGTAAGAAAAACATTGTCCTGAATAGAGCTGATAAATTTGCTCAGTTACTGTTCCCTGTGTAAGTGTTATATTGAGAATCACCTTACAAGTAAGCTCCCTTTCACTATTAATGATACAGATACAGGAAGCTAATATAACCAAACTTAGTGTGACACTTCATGAAAGAAGGTATTTAGTGTTTAGTCATGCGTGCTTGTTTTCTTATAGATCTCACTCTCGCATCCACATATGTGTAAGCACCAAGATCTGTGTCCAGGTGGTCTGGCTTCTTTCACTCGTGTGACACGGACTGCAACAAACACAAGGGACATATGAATCCTCCATATGTCCCTTGTGTTCCTCTTAGTTGGTGATGAACTGTTTTTAGACGTCTTTTGTACTTTTTAGGAATTAGGCAGTTATTAAGATGTATTGGAATCTTGCTTGCTTCATCCTCCATAATTCTTGGTCAAGATTGCTGCCTGCTGTCTTTGCTTCCTCATATAAGTTTGATTACTGTTGATCATTGCTGTTGATCATATTCTTGAGTATAAATATTAACTGTTCTTGTAACTGTTTCTGTATGTTGGTTTCTTGGTGCCTTCATATGAGACCCTTCTGTTCAACTTCATTCAGACCACTCTCAAAAGTTCTGTTACAAATATCTTCAAATGTATCAATATCATATAGAAATCTGGTAAGAATTCACATTATAGAAGCATTTAATTCTAACTATGAATTGCATTATGACAGAACAAAAATGTAATAATGAATTACTTGAATTTAATTACTATCATAAAGAAACTTTCATGCAATTGGTATAACATATCACTCTAAGTGTTTAGATTGTTACTATGCATGTAGGAAATATTAGTTACTGGTCTTTATAATGAACTCTTTATGTTCTCGGTTTATATATTCTTGAAGTAGGGAGAGATTCTAAACAAAGGTCTGCCTGATTTTGAATAGAAATGTAATTTCAAGTCCTGTCTCTTTTTCTTAGCCATAATGACAGGTACAATCTGGAAATTTATTATATTTTTTTTATTTTAAGTAATAAAAAGGCAAACTAAGCTGCCTTTATTAATGAAAAATACTTTATGCTTGGTGGCCTTAGCCTGTCTTGGGAATCCTCTGCAAGTGAGAGTTCTAGGGCTGATATCTCTGCTCTGATAGTAATACACTTCACATGATCCATTTTAAGGAAGCGTAAGACAGACTGTCACTTCTGTTCACTTGAGCCCTTGTCAGTCCAATACCTGGAGTTAAGTCTTCCATTCCTTTTCACACTGTGCCTACAGATCCTGAAGACATAATTTGTTGCTTCGGTCTCTTTAGATATTATCACTGCAGGGTTCATGGGAAATAGCTGGTACTTACTCACTGTGTAACATGAATAACCCTGTACTGCTGCTTGCCCCGAATTCCAATTGGGACTGTATTGACCTTGTCAGTCATAAAAGACCTGTCAAAAATATTAGGTAATAAGCAACTATGAAAAAAAGAAGAAAAAAGTGTTTGCCCATGTCTTGTCTGATTTTTAGAGAATGCGTTCAAAAGAATTAACCTCAGCTATAACACTCAGCAGGTTTTTCTTGGGCTCTTGGGCAGTTTCTCTGACACGGTTTCATTAATTTTTTAGCAAAATACTGTCAGAAAGTAAAATTCTATTGTTAGGATAATAAATCTGAAAATCAACATGGAGTGTAACTTTTTAGCTTATGTAAAGACCTTATGGTTTTGTGCTTTTTAAGTTTTTTTTTTTTTACCTTTCCTGTAAGGCTTTTGTTATAATTTTTTCTTTGTGCCAGCTTTAAGTAGTTTCTTTCTAAAGAACAGATTTCATGAAATCTCCTTGTGAGTAGGTCTCACTGAGCTTCTTCCAGAAGTTCTGTTGCGTTTATAATTTTTACTGCTTCAAACTGTGAGCTAAAAGCACCCTGCCAGTACAGTCATTTTGAACCCAGTGAGCAGCGTGGAGCTTAGATTATGTCTCAGTGTGTAATAGTTGCTGTGCTTATGAATAAAGGGTCGCCTTCATGAGCAGAAGATGAAAGAAGCCAACCATGCTGCTGCTGTGCAAATCTTTGAGAAAGTAAATACTTCCTTGCTGCCTATGAATGTGTTGGATCTGCATGGTCTCCATGTGGATGAAGCTGTGAATCAGTTGTCCAGAGTGCTGCAGGAAAAAAGTGAAGGTAGGAATAAGCTAGTAATTCCCGCCCCTTAAAAGTTATTCTCCTCATTTTCTACTAAGAAATCACGATATCTGACAATATCAGAGGGAATGTATCTAATTTAATAACATGTAAAAACAACTGGCTTTTGTGTTGTTTTATCTTCAAAGTTCCCCCATGGAATTGTTTGACATGGCAATGATTCTTTTAGCTCTCTGTCTTGCCCACCCGTGCCCCCCCATTCTCCCCTGTGCTTCTTTGTAAATTTTTCTTTTCCTTCTATTTTATCCTTTGCTTCTATTTTTTTATTGAAGACTTGATCTGTCCTTCCAGGCATTTTTAACAGAGGTGGTAACACAGATGTTTATGTCACCTTTGCATTGCTTTATCAGAACTGTTGCTTTTTTGATTTTTAAAGAAAAATCATTATGTTGGAATTATAACCACAATGATTATATTGTCTTCAACATGTACATGAAAGTGTGGGATTTGAGCTGTCTTTCAGTAACTTCCATATCAATTTGTCAGCAGGATCTCTTGAGATCAGAATACTGCTGCTTCCATAAATGTCATTTTGTGCAGTTTTGCTTGGGGGCTTGTTTTTTCTCCCAGTGGAGTGTTCAAGTACTTCATGAGTGTTCTTGCTGTAAAAAGATAAATTTTCTGCATTATTAGTTTATCCTATAAATTCAAGCACACTGGGAATGCTTTTGTAACAAATATTTCTTACACAAGGTACCACTGCACAAACCTAATTTTTGGAAACATCTGCTCCACCCAGTAGATGCAAAAGTGTTCAGTGAGGCCTTAGATAATCCTTTTCTTTCAATATACATCAGAGATAATTAAATTGAATTATCTTGGGCTATTCCTAAAATTACGTTTGTATACTTTAAGCTGTAACCTAATGTTTTTTAGAGCTAAATTTCCTGAGGTGCCCTTATATCAGGAGTCCTGCAGTGATGGTAGGGGCTCTCTGTTCAGTCCATTCACTTAAATATAAAAAAAAGTTCATTTCAGTGTGCATACGTAAGAATAGAATCAATACCGGGCACTTAGTGCTGGCAGAATTAACAGTAAACTAATATAAAATGCAGATTAAGTAAATCAAGAGAACAAGGGTAGTTGAGGGAAGATGTAATGTGAATTGATAATCTCAAACTGGCAAATCTTGGCTTGCTGTGAGAATCCAGTTTAATTTATACTTTTCGTTCTTTTTTTTTTTTTTTTTTTCCCCAAACTCTTCATCAATTTAGGTTTCTGTGATCTTTAGGAGAAGAGTAATGTCTTTTATTATCAGGGCTAGATGCTCTAATAAAACTCATGTGATGTGAATGAACACATCAACACGTGTTCCAACATAGCAGAAGTTACTCCAAATTAGTGTGACTTCAGTGTCAAAACTGTGGATTTATATTTTCCTTCTTCCTTTCTTTATCCAATAAAATATTATTTATTTATTCACATTAATTTAAGATAAAATGTGAAACAATAGGGAGAAGTATCACTTAAAAATAACTAAATTACACCCATCTCTTCATTTTGCAATTTTAATTTACATCACAGGATATAAATTCCAATTGAAGATTAGATGACAGAAACAATAAAGCTGCCATGAAATTAGAAGAATTTTGTGATGATCACAACATGCAAGCAATCTAGATTTAAAAAGCTTGATGATATTTTTTTTTTTTAGAATATCTTTTTCAGAAGAGGGGTAAAATGGTTGTTTATGTAAAAGGTGCATGGCCAGCATGGGAAAGTAAAGTTCTAAATCACTAGTGAGAGTTTTCAAAAGAATGGATGGAAGGGTTATACTGAACACCAAGTCTCTGCTGAGGGAAGATTTTAACCGTTACAATCCCTGCTGTTACAGAGTACCAGCAGACTGGTGGTAAACCATATCTATGTGTTATCACGGGAAGAGGAAGCCATAGTCAAGGAGGAGTTGCTCGCATCAGACCAGCAGCTATCAGATACCTCACAAGCCACAACTTCAGGTGAGTTTAGATTTTTGTTACTGATACATTTTTTCTTAACCCACATTTAACTAACTGAAAATTGAAGTTAGAGTACTGTTAAACAGATTAAGGCAGGTCTGCTGTTTCAGACTGAAGTAGGTCTGCTGGTTTGTAAATCCAATGCCATTGTGTGACACAAAGCCATCTTCTGTGAAGCACCTATTAAATGTTAGATCTTTTACTCTGACATGGATGAAACCAGTATGAATTAAATTTATCTAACATAGTTTAATTACATATTTCCATTCAGGGTTGCTAACTTTACTGTGAAAAATTGTTAATCCTGCTTTTTATTGGTCTCGAATACCTGCTTTAGCTCTCAGCTGCTTATGTGGGACAGCAATTTTGCAAGTCTGGGCTGGCATCAGTGTGTTTGCTGCTTTTTCTTTACAGGAGTATAAGAAGGTGACTGTGAACGTGGGACTCAGAAAAAGAAAAGGCTTCGTTTCCCATTTCCTTCTTAATTTCTATAGAGGACAAGGGAGAAAATCTGTTTTGAAAGAAAAGGGAATGAAAGGGGAGCAGAAAAAGAGAAGCAGAATTAAAATAACCAAGAATATTGGGCAGACTTTTTTTTTTTTTTTTTTTTTTTTAGATCTTCCTCTTAGTTCCTGCTGTTTCTAGCTCTTCACCTCTCCAGACCCTGTAAAATCCTCATTCGTTGTCACATCCAGAGGACATGATGCTGATTTCCTGACTCACACATGCACACATACTTGACTGAGAACCTTATCACTTTCCATATGTTTGATGAGGGCTGAAGGAGATGGCATTGCACATAGCTTTCATGTTGAAGCTTCATCTTTTCTCGTTTCACAGGTTCACAGAAGTAAAACCAGGCTGCCTGAAAGTCATGCTGAATTGAAGGGTTGTCAAGAAGAGGAATATAGAAATTGAAGTGTCAGATTACAGCTGAAAACTTTTTGAATAACTGCAATAGTATTTTGTAATCTGTTTTAAAGGATGATATTTTATTAGAAATGGTCTCAATTTACAGCAAGTGGTTTTGTCAGTATGTTTCCAAGAAAATTTTTTTGTGGAACGGATTCTTTTTTGAACCTGCAAAAAGAAGACACTTGCAGTATTTGAAGTCTCGGAAATGCAGAGTAAGAATTTTGCTGAGCAGTGTTTGATGCTTTAAAGGGAAGTTAAGGTACAGTTTTTAAATATAACTGTCTTCTCAGCATACCCAGTCTATGTCTTTTGACCCTCACGCATTTTAATTGCTGTGGATTCTGTGCTTTTAAAATACTGTACCGTGTACAAAGTTATTTTGTGATTCAGAACTTTGTGCTAAGCCTTTCAGAATAGCACAGGGGAGGTGGGAACTCGGCAACTACTGATATTTCAAATCCAATTACAGCTGAGTGCTTAATATTTCCCAGTTTCTTCAAAAATCTGATGTAGTCTGTTTTTAGTGCTTATTTTGTGATGGGTTGACCAGTTCTATTGTCCTCACTCCATTCTTAACTTCTCCTGATATTGATGGAAGTTGCATATAAAGGACCAGGTGCAGTAAGATCAGGTGTAGTTTTGGTAATTTTGCAGGTTTATGGTGATCTATTGAAGGGAAAAACACAACTCTGTAGTTCAATCTCTACTTACACATAGCTAATACTGTAATTTTTCAGGAAATGCCCTTACATTTTTTCAACATCTACTGGATTAGAAGCGTTTCTTTCTTTATGGCTTTTTAAATGGAGCAAATTGAGTACTGTTTCACTTTACAGGTGTCTAATAGTGACATGTCTTCATTCTGTGTGCATTAAATTTGGTGATTTCCTTGTAAAAAATACGATTGTCTGTGAGATGTTTTAAATGTATTTTTAACATCAAAGTGAATGCTAATACTACAGTAGTAATTGCCTAACTGGAAAATCTGGAGGTACAAAAGCTATTCTGGTGGTGGTGGTGTTGCATCAGCATCTAAAATACCTGTGTAAAAAAAAAAGAAAAACAACAACAACAACAAAGTCCCAAACAGAACCCCTCAAAATGAAATATAAACTTCTGTACTTTGGCAAGTGTTTTTGGTAAGCAATCAGAACATTTTTTAAAACAGATCTATCTTCTAGAATGCATTACTACTTTTAATTACATCATTGCCTCTTGAAAGGAATACAGATTTTTTTACTACAAACCATTTAATTTTTGTTGTAAGGTTTTTTCTGAACAGGTATGCGTTGTGTATTAGGAATAATATTAATAGGCTAAGGGTTGATGGGAGGGTTTTTAAATTTTAAACCACTTCACTGTACATTTCATCCAAGAACTACATGCACATATAATTTGTGTATGAATCCATATGTGTGTGCAAGTTCTGCCATTTGTGTGCATGAGTAGTAATAAGCAAGGAACTTCTGTGAGAAAAGCTGTGCACAGAAATAGGTTTCTCTTGAAAATGTGTCTGTATAAGTTGCTGACAAACTGAAAGACATGATGTTTCCTGAATACCCATATTTACTGTAATTTATACACAGTGAATGCAGTGTACGGTAGACTTAATGAATTTGTCATACTTCAACAGATACAATAATTCTCTCATGGTGATTTCAAGTGGAAGAATAGCTTGAATATTTAATCAAAGGGAGTCTTACTGGAATAATAGACTGTCATAATAAGTTTTATATTTTCTGTGGGTGTTTAGTTCATCTGAATTACGTCCCTTCTTTCTTTCTCTCTGGGCTGCTCTGGTAACCAGTGGGTGAAATACAGATCTGTGCTCCCCAAGCAGCACTAGCAGAGCTGTTTGTGCCACCACACAATGTCCTGTGTGGTGAAGCCCGTGCTCTGTCCTCTGTGACAGTGCCTAAAATAGGCTGCGATGTCCTTTAGGCACTTGAACTCGAGACAGCCGTTCGGACTGCCCAGGGTTGCAGATGCTAGAATTGCTTTGGTGGAGCTAGGATCTTTCTTTCGGACTAAAGCACTTCCTCTGCTCCTGAACAGGTTTTCCTTAGTGCTACTGGTTATAAGGAATGGAGGTGCCGCTCCCTGGGGCAGCTCTTTAAAGCGTACTCCCTGTTGGTTGGCTCCGGTGGCTGAGCTGCCCAGCAAAGGTCCCAGCATATGCTCACAAGTGTTGCCTGTTGAGCTGCTGGGTGCCCAAGCCCTAGAGTGATGTGCTTGTAAACAGGGAAGTGCCAACACTCCTGGTTGTTTTGGGAGGGGGGCCTGATTCACTCAGCATGTTCACACAATTCTGACATGGACAAAGACAGCTTAGATTTCAGGTCAAAAGATTAACAGAAAAAGTTGTCTTGCCCATCTGTTCATCGTAATCTAGTTGTTGACAAGTTTACCCTGGAGGTGAGAAACACAGCTTTTCACCTTCTTCTGGCCTAGCAAGGGGACAAGGACTGCACTTGACTGACTTCCCCAGAAAATGCTCTAACCACTGTGCTCAAGGGTATTCTTGAGTTTGCCACTTCCCGAGCCTCTTTCAAAATCGCCCCTGTCAGCTAAAAGTGTAAGATAAAGGGGACAAAAGAGATGAAAGAATAAAAAATGCATTAACAGTCTCTGGAAGAGGGCTAGGACTCTTGAGGAAAAAAAGCTGTTCTCACTGAGCTTCAGTGTCCCTCCATGTTATTGTTTCATCTTTGAGGCCAGTTTGGATAAATGCATTAACAAATGTTATGGGCAAAACTGCAGCTCCACCCCTTACTAGGAGAGTTTGTTTTCTCCAGCCTATCAAAGTCAGCAGAGCTTAAGAGTACTTCTCTCTCTCCCTCTCTCCATTGCCCCTTTGGGTACAGGTTGAAGTTCACTAAGGTACTCTGAATACCCAATCTAGTTATGGGTTGATCATTCACCTAGTATAAATTGATCACAGGCTCAAATAGGATGGAGGATGGTGGTCTAAAATTGTAACGCTGGCAGAACTGGTTTTGCCTCTCTTGAAGTTAGTGATAGAGTCTCCATCAGCTGCAGCAACTCAAGGTGAGGCATTGCAGTTCCAACTCGGAGAAAATAGGATGAGCTCAGCCTTTTTCTTCCATAGGAGTTTAAACAGGTACTTAAAGCTGTGCTGAGCTGGATACAGAATGGAGCAGAAGATCAGTGCACAGAGAGGAAAGCAGACTTTTATTAGTAAGGTTCTCCATGCCTTCAGCTACTTGCCAAACTGTTCAGAAGAAAACCACTGGACTTCTTGTATTTCTTAGAGTGTTTTTATAATGTATATTGGGATGAATTACATCAAATATAATTGTTTCAAAATGATATTTCAAAGTAGGCTACATTTTAGAACTTCCAGATTTTCTGACGTCTTTTGCAGTTACATCAGTGAAAATCCCGAGGCGTCGTGTAAATTCTGTATCATCTTATACTTTTAATTAAAAGTAGCATTTAGCAGTATTGCCACCAGCACTCAGAAGTAATGTGTGACTGTTAAAATACCTATTTTGTGTACCACTTTTTATTCTATTCTTCAACAGCATGTGGTTGTGATGACTGGTAGCTTTTAATATGTGACTTTTGGTTTCTTTTTTACAAAATTTTTTAATGTTTATCCCAACTTTTAATTTAGGAATGTTATCTTTTTAATACAAAATTTAATGCTTGTGCTAGCATTGATGAGTAATCTTACAGTAAAGAAAAACAAAAGGCCCAGAGGTGCAATGAAGAAAGTTGTTCTCCTAAGTAATCTGAGTGTTTAAAAATATATTTCAGTTGATTATGAAAGTAGTAGGAAAAAAGTGATTTTTAAAAAAATGTTCCAAGATACATTGAAAATAATGATTTTGGCTTTTGCTTTTAATAGTATGTGGTACAATTTTAATTAAACTTAATGTTTTTATAGGCCTACTGAAGGACACCTCAGGCTAAGTTTAACTGACTTTTTTTTGTGGCTGTTGGAAACTTGTGACTTGGGAATCCCCATTTAAATTACGTCCAGATGCTCTAGTCATAACCTAGAATACCACTAGAACATCTGGAACATCACTGTTGTGAATATGTACAGTGTCAGGAAAGATCTTTACATGCTTAGCAGAACATGCATTCTAGAAGGTTTTACTTGAGGAGCTGAAATATAACCAAATTGTTACTTAATCTTGCCGCAAAATATGGTGAGTAGGCAAGAGAATAATTTCACTGTTGAAAATGGCAAAGAAGGATCATCATAAACATAACGTGATAAATTATACCTAGACTTTGTTACTGATGCGTATGTATTCAAATGCAATTCACATTTCCAGAATAATATTGCCCTCTTTGAAGAGCTGAGGAGATAATAGAGTATGAATACTGTAACAAAGAAGAGTTCACTGACTTACCACAATTCCCAAGTATCATGCTCTCTTAAAAAAAAAAACCAAACCAAAACCATAAAACCCAACCAAAGCCCAACTGTTCATGCTATTTCAGCTAAATAAACTGTGCAGAGGATTAAATGACTTATATGTGAATATGCATGTGAAAAGACCTAGTATTGCAGCTACCAGTTGTAAAAGCTGTTAGGACCAGTACATTGGAAGATCTCAATGTCTATTTTTAAAACAAAATAAAAATTTGTTTGTTTGTTTGTTTGTTTTTTTATTTGTATAAAGTTGTAATTTTGCTGTTAACTATAACTTCCATTTTTTACTGAAATACAATTTTGTAATTTGCATTTAGAATTTCTAATGTGAAAAGGAATTTACAAAATCTAGTTTAATAAAGGATTTTTGCCACAAGTATAGCCTTTTGTCTTTCCTTGGAAGACTGTATTTCAGCTTGTATCAAATTTTGTCAAATAGTAGTCTTGAAGTTCTGCATGAAAGCCACTTGCCTTGACTTCAGGATACCATCTGTAGGGAGATGAAGCAACCATCTGCAGGCGTAAAAAGGAACAGATTTGTGGCCTGATTTTAACTGTTGCGAGTGGGAGCGGAATGCTCACATTACTGAAAATGAGGGTCATGGTTTCAGTTTTTTATTTTTTTTGGCCCGAAGTAACTGAAGAGATGCTGTTCAGGCCTAGCTTATTTTGTGTGAGAATGAGGGCAATGGTATATGTCGAGGGGCAGGTATGACCACTGTTAAGATGAGAGTTTAAGGGAGGGAAGTGTTCTGGATAGATCTCATTTAGCAAGACCCCTTAGGTCAGGGGCAGTGACAGGTCAGATCCTGGGGAAGCACAATCACTGTGTGGATGTGGGTTTAGAGCTAGTAAGCCTGAGTTTTCCCAAGCTTGCTCTGTGCAGATCAAGTGCAGATATTCCTGTGTCATGTTCCTGGAAGTGTGGAAAGACACCCGAGAGCAAAGTTCTGGCTAGAGTCCAGCTAATTTTATTAGCTGAGGTTGAGGACAACTGGCTTTCACCTGAGTTAACTCCTGCAGTCTTTCCTATGATGTCATTGTCTTGTAGCTTGGACAGACTGCAGAAACAAGCTGGGTTTGTGCATTTGCACAGCAAACCCCTGACTAATATGCTGTTCAAGAGAGCAGGGAAAACTGGTTTTGGGAACACATGAAAGGTTGGCAGGTGGTGGCTTAGATCTGACACGGCTGAATCTGAGCCGTGGCTACTCGACCACAGAACCTGTGAATGTCTGGTTGGTTGTGTGCTCCTCACCTACAGGACTCTGGCAGTGAGGCTCAAGGTCCAGCTCGGGGGCTAGTCTCAAATGGTGTTTTAAAGTGGAGGTACTGCTACTACACTTGCCTTCTCTCGGGGGGCAGGACAGCAGTTCAACATGGAGACACAGCTTGCTTGCTAAAACTGTCCATCCTGATTCACTGGTTTCTGTTTCAGTTCATGCCCTTATTTTCTCTTGTGTGCTGGGCTAGCTCTGGGCTCCTCTCTGC